CCCCAATCCAAAGCCCAAAGGAAGCCACTGAGCTCTGCCAAGATTTGGAAAACATCTCATCTGTCCATGCAAGGCTGTTTCCCAAAACAAGCCTACTCCTGCTCTAAATAAAGCTTAGCCTAGAAAGACAGCACTGCCTAGTTGCCTAGGTGCAGGAGTCGGGAATTTGGGGGTTTAACGCAGCCTCTGTCACCAGCGGGTTACTCTCTACTCTCTGGAGCAAAGTTTTCCTCTGTTGGTACAATGGGCATTGCTGTTTTCCCAGTCCTGATGGGAAAAGCAAAAGATTAACCAGGCGCAATTCAACAAGGCATCTACCACCCCGCTTGCAAACAGCCTCTTTGCCCTTTAATCTCCAGGGATATCGCCCGGGCTTTCGCAAAAAATTAAGGTCACAAGAGTACAGAAGCAAAACTGGAGGCAGAGTTACGTGCCGCTTCCCCAGCACGATCTGCAGGACGGAGCTGAGGGTGAAGCTCTATCCTCTTGATCAGCCGTGACAGCCAACCCCTGCAAAAAGGGGGTTTAATCAACGCTGCCCCGGGTCCAACAGTGCCCGTGGTCGGAGAGAGACGCACGTGCAAACTAAGCAAACACGCTCTGCCGTACAAAGCAACCGCCCGCCCCGCCGGGCTGGAACAAAGCTCGCTCCCTCCGCGGGGACGGCAGAGCAGCGGCATCAGGGCCGGACATGTTTTACTCTGACGTTTGAGGGAGCAGGGCACGACCCCAGCACAATCAGCTCCCCTCTCCCGGCACACACGCCGGCATTTGTTACCGCTGCCCGCTGCCGGCGGGAGCGTAACCCCTCGCTGCGGTGGCGAGGCCGACGTCACGCCGAGCCCGTCCCTGCCGAGAGCGATTGTCTCTCTGACACGCTGCCGAAGCCCTGTGGGGTCCGAGCCCCTGGCGCCGGGGCGTAAGCGGAGCCACGACACGCCGAAGGACTGACGCTGCTGGAGAAGAAAGAGGAGACTCAGATTTCCATGTTGTCCCAAGTCCCCTCCTTCCAGCAATGACCTTTTATTCTTCCCCAGCAAAAGGCGAAAACACCCGATCTCTCAGCAAAAGCCACGTGTACTGGAGGGAAGCCACCAGACGCCATAAGCTATGGTCCCTGGGCGAGGTCCCCGGGAGCAGCATGGCCAGACAGACAGCGGGAAGCGCAGAGGGGAAGCGCTGCCGCTCTGCACCCAAATTACTCCACA